ATAATGCGGGATATAGGTCGACCCCCTTACCTTGACCAGCAAAAAAAAAGAGAAAAAGAAAAAACGCGGAATAGTTCACGGATTAACTTTAATCAGTCCTCCGAGCTGTCTGAGCTCTCCTCCGACGACGATTGCTTATCACTAGCAGCCTCCCACAGCATGTCGTCCTCAGTACCGTCGAGAGCGTTACTGATGCAGCACTTCCTAAATGCGCGCACCACCATCTCTTCCGGCAGAGACCTCCATGCCTCGGAGACCCAACCAGAAACAGTTGCGAGAGGTAGCCTGCGCAGCTGGCCTGTCTGGGAACGCGGGTTGTCGCCAGCCATCCATTCGGTGTACAGCGCGTGCCCACGGTCCTTGAAAGGTTTATTAAGGACGTCGTCCAGCGGTTGGAGTGTTAACGTCATCCCTCCCGGAATGGCGACAAGATTTGTCTTTCCGTCGCGAAGGCTCTCCATCACCGATGCCGTCAAGTGCCCGCGAAATGCATCCAACACTAGCATGTTTCAGTGCTGCAGGAGTGCCCCGGGCCGCCGGTTCCACCCTGTGCGGATCCACTCGCGCATTAGGGCCTCGTCCTTATACCCCTTCTCATTGACGCGGACGACGACATCCCGCAGGAAGGCCTCTTTCGGCATCGTCTTCCGCTTGAAGATGATGAAAAGGGGCAACTTTTTGCCGTCGGCCATGCAGGAAAACATAACAGTGAAGCGCGAATGCTCGTTTCCGGTCGACAAAAGCTTCACCCTTTTTGCCCCGCGTTCACAAACGGTCGTAAACGACGGCATGCCGAACCACACCGGCGTTTCCTCAGCGTTGCCGATCTGGCCTAGCATGTAGCCATGCTGCCGCCGGAGGCTGTTCACGTAGAGTTGAAACTCTATCAATTTGTCCTCGTACATCTCCGGTAGCTTCTGGCATATCGACGTGCGCCGTCGAAGGGCAAATCCCTTGCGTCGCCATGAAGCGACGGGCCCAATAAATGGATCCCTTGAAGTCTTTCTTTGACAGACCGGCTTCACAGGTGAGCTCGACAGCTTTTGATCGAATAAGCTCCGCATTCACTGGCAGGGATCTGGCACGGGACTCACGGACGAAATCCACTACCTTGTCCTCGAGTTCCGGGTGCACAGCTCGGCGGCCGCAAAACAACGTCTTCCTCGCATTACTCACACCGACAGTCTGGATTTTTGGTTGCTCCAGAACCTGACGCTTTTCTCGGACACTCCAAACTGCGCTGTGCCGCCATGTTGCCGCCATTCGCTTCCGTGAATGAGATAATTTTTCTTTTAACTGGCGCCGCGTCCCCGTGTTCATGGCCAGTCGCAGAGTAATGTCGACACTCGCTATGAACACTAAATGAAGAAGAAAAGAGAAATGACGTCGGCACAGAACTTGCGTCAGCCCACGAAGGAAGTCGATGTCGACGCTGATGCCCAAAAAACATGTGGCACTCCTTGTTGCCAGACGATCTCTTGGTTTATGCCAAGGGCTGGTATATAGGTCGAGGGGTGACTTTTCATTGACGTTTTTTGGAAACAATCTCGACCTATGTTTCGCACTGTACGGTACTTTTCTTTCCAGCATCCACAGTTGGTGTTACAGTAGATTCTTGGTAAACGGAACTGCTGCTGAAACAGAACAAGTGCTTCTGACAAGATTGGTTTCGTACTTGTATTCTGCAACCTTGTTCATCTCTCAGTAAACGGAACTCCTGTTAAATGGAACACATTTTCGTGGTCCCTTCAGGTTCTGTTTTTTGAAAGTCCACTGTACATCGCTTTGATTTTGAATCTGAACACTTCCATCAGAGCCAGCATTGCCTTTAGCAGCCAGATTTGCAGCAATTCACAAGCATTCGATCATAGCCGTCGTACAAGAAGTCTCGTTTCTATTGTGAGTTCTGTACACCAAGTGAAAATACATGAACGATCGGTATTGAAAGATTAAACTTCATTAGTAACACATTCAGCATATGTAGATGAAGTAAAACTTTTGTAAGTGTAAAAAATGATAAAAATTGAGAACTGTCACTACCTGGTAGAATACATAACCTCTACTGTGGTGGCGGCAGTAGCAGATGCTCAGAGCAGTATGGACCATGTGCATTATCTCAACTGTTCTCAACTGTCTTGGAATGGACAGTTAAGGAACTGCTGTAGGACATTCAGTGATAATTTTTTTTCCATTAATGTAATTACTTGACTAATATTTCTGTAAGTCAGGATGGCAGACTTATAAGACAAATACCAATTAGGGGTGTACAACTATTCTAAATTTCGATTATTTTTATAATACTGTTTGCTATTCGATTCAATTTGCTCTGAAATTTTACTATTCGAACTTCCTAAAGACAAATACACTAAACACGCGATTTGCAGTGGCCTTTTCAGATTTTCAATATGCTGCATCTGATCACACACTTGCAACAAAGCTGCCTTTTGGGCTCCGCTATGGTCGCAAATCTATCGACTCTAGAAAATGTTGGTTCAAACATTGAGCTATGGATAGATGTGGCAGAGGTGGAGGTTCAATGCTGTTTTGGAACAGAAAGTCCGAGACATTTAGCATCCAAAATTTCAAATGTTCTTATATGTTGATGTTTCTGAGGCAGATTTGGAACTCTGAACTCGAAGTGAGCACACTCGTGTCCGCCACATCAGTTAGGCTTCCACAGAAGTTGAATGAGGAGGAGAGGTTTAGGAAATAGGGTCTCTGCCTTTCACATGTGAAGTGTTGTCGGCATCACATTGATTGCACCAAGTCTTGTACAGTGGCGTCCACTGTTAGGGTTAACAGCGTGGCCATGCTCTGCGCAGTGCCATTATGCCGGCGCGGCCGCGCATAGAAGTGTAGAGACTCATGTGCACACAGGCACACGACGATGCTTTACGTCTGCTACATCGCTTGAGCATGCCATTACATCGTAGCCAAGCGCCGGTCTTGCTTGTCTGTAGTACAGCTAGAGCAGCACGATCATGTGCGCCTGCACTGCTTCGATTAGATTCATGGCCATGCCTGCTGCACTGGCACTTCGTGGAACGCTGTCGCTCTGAGCCGTCTTCATCCTAAAAGTGGATGCCACCGTACATAAATACCATTTGGCCTCTGCATTGCCTCATTCTTGATCGTACAATTACGAAACGTCACCTTCCAGCACCTAATCAGCTTCGCCAAAAGACGCACTTTATGTTGCTATCTCATAAAAATATGCGAGAAATCCTCTCCAACTTTTCTGCAATTTTGCGTCGTAGTAAGTCGAAGCGATCTATACAGAACTCGAAAGTGCTTCAATAAGTGGTTATTTCAGTAGTTCATTGTAAGTGGACCCGCGCATAAACATGTGCACTGAGTGGCCAAACCATTTTTTTCTATGTATTTTTTTTGTGTGCTAACAACCCCTCTTCGATACCCACTGCTCACAAGGGAATTCAACCTCGTTCGCATTGAACTCGCGCTGCTCCTCTGAAGCACGGTTCCACCACATCGAACCAATTATCTTTGGCTAATTGCATGCAGCACGTCACTTACTTGGCTTTCGCTGTTGCATGCCGGGTCGTCTGCAGTCGAATGTGTGTGCACGTTTGTGCATTCTTCATGCATTCTTCACTCGATATCGTACTCCGGTGAAATGAGTAGCCTGTTCAACTTGACGAAGACATGCATTTTGCAAGCAACACGCAAGCGGCCTTGTCTGATGCGGGGGCAGTGAACTTGCGAATGGCAGCGTGACGTGTGCTTGCGAACGGCAGCGTGACGTGTTTGTAACGCTGTTACTCCATGCAGTTTAAACATGTGCATCTAGCAGATATCAGCAGATATCAGCAGATGACTGTGGTAAGGTTGCAGGGGATGAGTCAAAATGATCTAGCCTTCGCTGTTTTCTGATGCTTATCGATGAAGGCACCGCTGCAACTGTGCTGAAGTAGTTACCATTGATAGACCAGTCTCTGCTGTTAGTGAAAGGCTGGAGGAGCTTTTGCAGTACATTGTAGTATCTATGAGTTGCACGTTGTGCTGAACCTATATACGATGAAAAGTTATCGCTTCTTGCATTTGTGGCTTCTCGTGTTCAAAGGCATTGTTTGCTTCACTGGCGACGGTCGTAGATGCAGAGAGCGGCGCCAGAAATTTCACAATGCAAAAGCTGATTGCAAGTCTTGAGGCTGCTTCCCATTTCTTTTTTTCCTCATTGCCATTCTGCCAGTGTAGGAACGCCTGAAAAGGGAGCAAACTCACTTGCAGCATACGAAATCTGCATGCGTTGCTCACTTTGGTCTACGATATCTTCGTCACGAGTAAAGTGCAGCAGGCCACGTGCAAGCACGCGCTTCTCTCATGCTATAGAATGCCAGTTTTATGAACTCTTTTTTGACTTCGTGTGCAACATATTTTTACTGAGACTGTGTTGGAAGTGTTTATTGTAAATGTAGGAGGCTTTACAGAATGTTCGCAGATGCAATTAAGTTGGGTAGCAAAGTCAAATTGTAAATGCATCAAAAGATGGTTATTATAACTGCAAAAATTCTGCAAAGTGTGGGATCATTATAAGTGTATTCGGCTGCATTTGAATATTGTTTGAGAAATATTTTTTTTTAATATTTGTTACGTTCGCACTTGGACTCCACTATTTGAATTTGCTTCGCAGATAAAATTTTGCTGTTCACACAGCTGTACTAATAATGTTCTGATCTAGCTTGACTGAATGCTTTTCATTGATGTCACTTCGAACATTTTTTGTCCTTGCGTAGTATTCGTGCAGTGGTGCTAGTCTATGAACTAGAATGGTCACTAGCCAGCTTTGGACTCCACTATTTGAATTTGCTTCGCAGATAAAATTTTGCTGTTCACACAGCTGTACTAATAATGTTCTGATCTAGCTTGACTGAATGCTTTTCATTGTTGTCACTTCGAACATTTTTTGTCCTTGCGTAGTATTCGTGCAGTGGTGCTAGTCCATGAACTAGAATGGTCACTAGCCAACTGGTTCTTTGTAGGTAAGATTCCTGAAGTTATGTCGCCTGTTGAGCTGCAAATAGAAGACCTTCGTCATCGGCTCAAGGTAGAGTGTGCTGTTGTTGAAGGTGCGAAGAATGTGCTCAAGCTATGTCAGGCTGCTGGAAAAGTCACCGATCGCAAAGTCTTCCAAGAGGTAAGTCATCTCTCTAGCACTACAAAGAACTAACTGCAGGTTACATAATTTCTAGTGCAAGAAAACCTGAAAGGCTCTCCTGCCATGGAAACTAATAAATCTTAACATTGTCACCGATCACAGTGAACATTCTTTTCTTGCTATATCGACCGCTCAGACCTAACTGCTGTGAATACTTTGGCTTTTGGCACACATTTTTACCAGTGTTTTAATATGCCCTGAACAACATTGGCAGTCTTACATTAGGCGATGTGCATTCAGCACTAGGCTGTGCATCCTTACACTTGTGGGCAACAGCCTGGTCCTGCTACAATGTTTGAACTGGCTTTGTTCTGCATAGATTGTAGCTAAATTAATGTAGAGAGCCTCTTTAAATATTCAACGCCCTTTTTGCTGGACATTTGCTATTGGCCAATAGCGGCCTTCTATGAAAATCTGTGTGATGACTAGGCATGTGTGAATAGTGAATTTTATGTTCGAAGTAAATTCAAAGTGAATAGGGATTTTGGTGGAATAGTTTTGAATAGAATTCGAATACTGTATACAGGTAAACCTGCCTTCTAACGAACCTGCATATAACAAATTCCTCGATATAACTGAGTTCTTCTGTTTGTCGCCATTACTCCATAAAAGCACATGTATTTGCGACCTCTATAACAGACAGCGGGAGACATCCTGGATGTAATGATTTCTTGCTATGCACAATCTAGAAATCTAGTCCTGGATTTTGTCATTTTAGCGCAAGCATGCATCTTCCGCGAGTGCTCGTCAACTACTAAGCGCAAAGCGGCAAAGGCGCTTGTGACCGTGGCAACTCCCAGGCAAGAGAGAACACTCGTTATTGCACGTAGGTGTGCGCGAGGCGGGCAGGTAGGCCTGCACCCCATGAGCCGGCATTGCCACCGTTCTTTATGGCACAGGGGCATGCGCAGATGTTCCCCCCCCCCCCCCCTCTTAAAAAAAAACTAAAAACTATGTTTGCGTTGGCAGTGCCACACATTTAGTTAGCGTCACATATTTGGGGCCGCGCTTCATATAGAGGGTGCTTTACCAAATAGTTTTCTGCAGCATCCGTGTTGTTCACTCATTTTCAACGGCGTGCGCGCGTGCATGGTTTTTTTTCACTGCGGACCCATGGGGTGGCCCCCGACAGCTTTGTGTTTCTTTTTTTTTTTTTTCTAAAAAATGCGGACAATTGTGTCGTCACTACCGAGGGGATGTCAGATTAGACGCTGATGAAAGCTCTGCGAGACCGCGGTGACGACGACAAATCTTCAGAGGTCGACTCGTCATGCGCTTCCGTCTTGCATCGCGCTACATGTTCACGGGATCATATCTCTTGCGATTAGTCGATTAGCTCAGGCAGCAACAAGACAGTGCGTTGAACACAATGAATGTTGAATGTAATAGCAACCAATTGCATTGTTATACTAATTCAGGCTGGCAGCCAACTATTATATCCGATATCGCGGAACTCCTGCAAAATGCTGGTGTGGGCAAATACAGCCACTCCAGAGAGAAGTGTTTTTTTCACACAGTCTCTTTGGGTTGAAAGCGCACTAATGCTTGCAGAGATAACACGCACGCCAGTGCTCACGACCGTAGCCTTAAAATTAATGTTCACTGTTGCTTCTCAAAGACCTTGCATTTTGTCATGCTCGTTCAAGGCGAGACGTTTCTGTTTCTTTTCTGTTTGAGCATTCATTGGCAGTTCTAACACATGGGAGGGATGTTATTTTATGCGCAGATGAGCCAGCTCATACGAAATCTGCTCCAGCAGCGCTCGCGTGCTTTTACCCGCTCGTAAAGGTTACTATGGGCGGGGGCATGTTATCAATTTGGACGTGTTACGGAACATGGTGGCGACTGCAAAAATCCGCCGAAAGTGTCCATATAATTGCTATAAAAAATAGCTATGCTATGAAATAAATAGCAAGGCCTCCATTTCTTTGCTGATTACGGTAGAGCAGTTTATGACGATAGCCTGCAAAGGATGGCGCATCTTCTTTATCAGTAATCCATGTCTCGGAGAAAATTAGCACATCAAATATGAGAGACATGGACCGTAAAAAAATAGTGATATTATCTACCTTTCTTTTTATGCTTCTACAGTTTATGTGTAATGCAGAAAAAAAGTTTTTTCCAGTGTGAAATGCACTATTAAATCCTTCGACATCGCAATACTCACTGTTAATAACGAGATCAGCCATTGCAAAGTGTTTTTCGGTTTGCTATGGCACAATACATGCCTAATTTTTATTTTAGTAAGGCTTTCCTCATCCGAAATATGTATCGCTCGTAATCCTTCATCTTTATGTGCTAAAAATTTGCCACCGAATGTCCAGACAAATGTACACGCAGCTTCTTTCTTTTTCTGTATTGCTGCTGCAAGAATGCTTTTGCCCGTTGCATCAAATGCTCATTTACAATCTTTTCATCCCCAAGCACAGAACTATCTAGCCTTTTCTTTGTACACTTTGCCAAGATATCATTGCGGGTTGTTCTTTTAAAAAAACGAATGATTATCTTTCTCACTCCTGACTTAAGAGTTGAAATCCAGTGGAATGTATCGATATCAGCCAGGTCAACCTCTGCGCCAACAGCTTCGCCTATCTTTTTTTTACAGCAGCCACTGGATCACTTCCCACTTGTGCACCCTTCATTTCAAGATTGTTCAGGCACTGATACTGTTCCAGCTGATCACATTTTTGTGACAGTTTCTTATTTTCCACTTTAATTTCCATATTTTGTCTGATGAGCTCTTGCGTTTTAGCCCTCATCATCTTAATGTCAGTGACAGCTTCTTTTACCTCAAAAAATGCACAATGTAGTTAATCGTACACAGAAAGCAATGCTGATGTCCGATTTTTAATGTACAGCTCCAATATTTTTTTTATTTTAATTTAAAAATTTCTTTGTTTTTGGTTGCTTACAGACAATAAACTTCATTGTGCTGTAATTCGAGAAGTACTTGTTCAATTTTCTATTAGCTTGCAGCGTTGCCCTTCTTAGGATTTTTAGTATCCATATATGTGTTAACGACTATGCAATTTTATATGCACAAATTTGCATGGTTTAAGCAAACAATACAATGTAATCGCTAATTATCTCAGAAAATAAGTGACCTGCATAAACTATGGTTGGATAGTTAAAATAAGCTCAAGAAGCTGAGCAAAGCTGTGCATTTTCATCTAATTTGCTTAAACCCATGTCCCCCTGAACACATGCGGGCGCCGCCATCTTGGGCTGCTAAGCCAATGTTTTGTTGTTTTTGTATATAGCGACGTGAAGTAATATGGCCATGAAACATCGTATGCACCAGCCCAACTATTTTTATGCATATGCGTCTACCGTAACACTGTTCGTTCAGTTGTTAAAGATGCATAAGACAAAAGTTAACAGCCTAATATGGCAGCACACAAACCCATCCGTAAAATATGCATTTTATTTCCCCATGTTTATCACACTGCTTTTTCATCAATTTATTTATGCAATATTCTGGAACGCAGAAAACTCATGCATGCACCTTCCTTTATGTTCTCCTCACAGGCACAGAACAGCTTAGTGGAATCGAGTGAGAAGCTCGATTTAATTCGGCGGTCATTGGAACTGAAGCGTGCCGAACTGTCGCCAGGCAGTACCAAGTGGCAATTGCTCAAGCGTGAGTTAGAATCTAGCCAGCTGGTGAACCCTTACGCACCATCCATAGTGCCACATGGTCCCGGAACTGAGCAGCAAGGCTTGTCAGCATCTCTGCCAAGCCCATTAGCAGCCGGCCCAAGTGTTCCTCTCTCAAAGCCAGCTTCTGTCACGGGTCAACTTCAAGTGAGGTGGGCCTTTCAACCTGTCTTGTTTGGTGCTATCAGTGTGTGAAAACTGATATTTTTTTTTATTTTTGAAGATGTTTTATACGATATTGGAACCTATTTTAATTAATTTTTTACATGACTGGTACAGTGTACTTTCGTTACAATGGATTGTCATAATCCGGCAGAAGGTGTTGGGTCAGTGTGACAATTGTTTTAATTTTGCTGAGCACTCTGATACTTGCTGAATGTATTCAACAGCATGGTTACAAAAGACTTCAATCATCAGCAGCAGTTATTAACAAAATTTTGCCAGAAGTTCTATATAATGAGTGAGTGCGATTAACAGTAGCAGCAGGGATGCTATGCGGCCCCTGCACAGCTGCAATGTTGGTTACTTGCTACAATGTCAACGGCTTCGTCAAGGTCGTCATGTGAAGTTGTCGCGAAGTTGGCAAAGTGCGTCGCAGCATCGTAGTGCACACTTTTGGGCGCCCCTTAAGATCACAGCATATATCACTGTTGCAGTTAAACAATTGCGAGAAAAGATAGCCGCAAAACGCTTGTATGGCCTGTGCGGACGGCCCGGCGAGAGCTTGCAGAAGATCTTAGATTACCACTGAAGATGAATAAAGTGCAACAAAGAATCTATTTCCAAACAGAGTACACGTGGAAAGCTAAGTGACCTAACTTTTTTTTTGCAGTACCACGATTTTGCTCCTCCCGAAAAAGTTTTCATAAAATTTACCCCTCGTAATAAATGCATCCCCCAGCTTTGCTAGATTTTCCTAGAAAAAAAGTGCGTTCATTACGCAAGTAAATACAGTATATCGCGTGTTATAAAGGAAAAGGGGCATACTTGCCATGACTTAACTAACCTGCACAAAATTTTTTTCTAAAGACGTGCAGATGCCTTTTTTTTTTTTGCTTCATAGGAAGTGAAAACAACTTTGAATAGTAGCAAGATGGGACGTTCGGTAGAATGCTAATGATAATATGTAAAATGTTTTAGGTTTTCAAATTTACTATAATTAGAGCGTATAAGTTGGTACAACAAGCTTTTAAACTTCAAAAGGGAATTGATGTGAGGGTAGCATCTTCACTTAAAGGGGTGCGAACACAAAATTTGGCGGCCAAGATGGCCTACCGGGGCCATTTCCTGTGAACATTCATATATCATCTGCAAAATCTCAACAGGGAATATAGCTTGGATGGTATTTTAAATGAATCCTGAAGTTTCTGTGAGCGCTCAATTGCATTGCGTCATTGACACTTTTGAGGGGGGACCCTTGGGGACCCCCTACTTCTCTCAAGTCACCACGGTGCAGTCAGTAAAACAAGTTATGATGATGTCATGGCCGCCATTTTTCTTTTGCGGCGTTTGTTTTTGCAGTCTATACTTCTCGGCGGCTGGTGGCTAGTGCCTGGCTGTGGCACACGCTTTGAAAGTTTTGTTTTTGGTGACACTGCAGCCCCATCTCCTAATTGAAAATACAGTCTAATCTCATTAATTGGAACACGCTTAATTCAAACTTCCGGTTAATTCAAATTCACGCTGAGGTCTCGTCAAAGCTATTTGTATTCCAATGGGCAAAAACGCCCTGTCATTCGAACGTGCAAGCACTTGCGATGGTTAATTTGAACCTACTGCGCTCCGAAAATGCCCTCAGCACCGCGCTCAATCCTGCGGCGGCACCTTCGACACCTGAACGCTACGCACGAAGGAAAAATAACGGCTGTGGTGAAATGTTTCTTCTCTCTCCAACGCCGATCTGCGATGTGCCGGTGCCACGCTTCCCCTTTCCCGTCCCTTCTACGTAGACCCTTTTTCTTTCAATGACGCGCACAAAAAAGAAAAAAAAAAAAAAGTGGCCGTGGAGTGTTGGTTCTTTTTCAAATGCCGATCTGCTTCTCACCGCGTGGAGACACTCCTCCTTACTAGGCACGTGCTGGCCCCGCTGCGACTGCAGCGCAAAAGGTAGTAGCAGAGACGAAGTCGGGTTTGTCGTCTTTAGAGTGTGTCGGCGCTGGACATAGCCGCGCGCAAGTTCTCTTGCCAGGAGAATGCTGAAGTCGAAGTAGAAATGCTTGGCAAGCTGCGTGCGAAATTGATTGACTCGCTGTAAGGCAAACGTGTGCAGATGTGCATCACCGATTACTTCAATTAATGACAGATGTCCTGTGATTTGTGAACAAGTATAAGTATTCTGGAACTTCCCCCTCGTGTGTTAGCTGAATGCACATGTGCCACTCCATGGTGAGCCCTCCATTCATTTAGCTTTCATTAATTTGAACTTTTAATTTGAACAAATTTTTGGGCCTCTTCGAGTTCGAATTATCAATGATGATGATGTTTAGAGTTTAATGGCGCAAGGCCGACTAAGGGCAAAGAGCGCCAAACAGAAGTGATTACATTAAAGTGACAAGGAAGAAAAAGAACATCTCAGTAAAAATAAACAAAGTAAAAACACAACGTAATGGAAGATGACTGGTCTAAAGGGCCAGGTTGTCAAGCATGATAAGAAATGAGATGTAAAAATTTCACGTCGGTAAGAAATTCTAAAACGCGTTTGACTCAAAACAGTGCTTCGTCTCCTATGAAGTGTGACGGGTGTGGTGGAATATGTCGCGTGTGTAGTTGTGGGAAGTATTTGCGTCGTGTTGTGTCAAGTGCCTTACATTGTATCAGGATGTGGTTCACGGATAGGGCCTCTCCGCACCTGCTGCACAGAGGTCTTGGAGACCCAGTGAGAAGGTGCGAGTGCGTTGCATGAGTGTGCCCTATCCGTAATCTGGCCAAGGCGACTTCAGTGTATCTATTACGTGCGTCGGTGGTGTATGGTCCCAAATGTGGTTTTATTACGTGTAACTTGTTGTCTGTTTGTTCACTCCAGTGTGTTTGCCATGTTTTACGTAGTTGTTGTCTGATGTGTGGTTTCACGTCGGTGTAGGGTAATGTGGTTATGTCTACTGTATTTAGGAGTGTAGCAGCAGCAGCCATTCGATCCGCTGCTTCGTTCCCGGCTATACCACAGTGGCCAGGGACCCAACAAAGAACCAGTTCAAGGTTGTGTACATACACAGACATAACAGCTTTGACAATCAGATTGACAACATGGTTTTTCGAAGGCATTGTTGACGACAGTGCCCGCACAACACTGAGGGAGTCTGTATAGATAATGGATTGTGAGATGTCGCTTTGAAGTATATGATTAACAACAAGAAGAACACCATACGCCTCTGCGGTAAAGATACCGTAATTACTCGAATCTAACGCGCACCTTTTTTCCGGTTAAGCGAGTTCATAAATCGCATGCGCGTTACAATCAAGTACGAACAAAAAAATTACGGTCAATCTATTGCCATCGCAAATCCAAAATGGCCGCCCCCTACGTGCGTCGGCATGGTGCGTCGGCTATATCTGCCTATGTGTTTACCATGTGCGGCACTTCGTACGTGTGCTGAGGAGTTCGTCATCTAGTAGTGCATTAGAATCGACGACGTGGAAGGGCCGACTCCAAAAACTCGAGTGCACCACGATGCCGCTTTTAAAAGAAAAGTCATCGCGTGTGCAGAAACGGACGGAAATCGGGTCGCATCGCGGTCGTTCCCGAAACGTGCGTGCGGGACCGGCGGAAACAAAAGCAGAAGATTGTCGACAGCAAAGCTTCACGCAAAGGCTTCAGTGAACCACAGCAGGGTCGGTTTCCGCAAATTAAAGAGCTGCTCGGCGAGTATGTGCTTGAGGAGCGAGCGGCACAGCGGCCCGTGACGACAGAACTGCTCCAAGTGCGGGCTATGCAATTAGTCTTAGAAAAAGGTCTAATGCGTAGCCAGTTTAAAGCGAGCAGGTGCTGGCTAATCAACTATATGAAGAGACGAGGCTCTTCCCTCCGAAGGGGAACATGCATATGCGAAAACTTTTGCGGAGAAGTACGATGAAAAGCTTTACAGTTTTCAGAGGTTCGTCCTAAACTTGCGGCGCAACAACGGCTACCTGCTTGGGCAAATCTGGAATGCCGATCAGACGCCTCTTTACTTCGACATGCCTGCGAGAAGAAGGGGGCGAAGCAAGTTCGCGTGCTGACATCGGTCCACGGTAAAACTACAGTGACGGCAATGCTCTGTTACACGTCAGATGGGCACAAGCTTCGCCCGTACCTCATATTTAAGTGGAAGACAATTCCGAAAGGAATCGTTTTTTCGAGTGGTGTGATCGTGCGGGCCAGCGGAAAAAAAAAAAAAAATGGGTGCGCGTTGCAATCGATGTCTTACGTTTTTTTTTTTTTTTTTTCGCGGAGGAAATCGGGTGCGCGCTACAATCGAGGGCGCGGTAGAATCGAGTAAATACGGTACTAGTATGACTATTCAGCGTTTTAGTGACACTAAGGCCGGGTCCATGCGCAGCGCAGGACACAGAGGTGGCAGTTCTAGAGGCGTCCGTATAAAATTCAGCACATTGATACTTATGCTGCAGATGCAAGAAATGCTGCAGAATAGCACATGTGGGAGCTCGGTTTTTATCTATATGTGTAAAAGATGTGTCACATAAGACAGCGCGGAGATGCCATGGTGCTATAAAATCTGTTGGAGAACTTTGGATGGTGTCTAGAAAAGAGACAATCTCTCTTGAATTATCAAGATTCGACTGTAATTCTTGATGCGGACCGTGTACAAATGTGTCACAGTTCCGTGTGCTGATGTGGTCGAGAGCTGCAAACACTAGGTGTGGATAGTTGCACATAGTACGACTAGTTGCTGCATGCTTCAAGTATACCGGAGTTTGGCTTATAAGGCAATTGGACCTGCTGGAAAATTGTTTCTGGACTTCCAATGCGATTATTTTATTTTAGCTTACCCAGAGGTGCAACAGCTGCTCCAATTGCACCAATTTGTTACAATTCGCGATTTGTGCGTCGATTGCACCAAAACCATGAAATTTACCGAAATTGTGCCATGCTGCCCCAAAATGCCCGTCCAGCCTGAAAAATTTCCTAGTTGCGCTAATTTCAACGAGAAGTGGA